TTATTTTAAGATAAAAAATTTCCCTCCCTTCACCCCCTCTAAACTCAATTAAAAAAATTTCCCTGGAACATGAGCAAAGGGAGGAATCATAACACTTATTGAATTCTTAGGATGCTGGTGATCATCAGATTTTTAATCTTTAACTTATAGACTGAACAGTTAAGCATGTTCTCAAACGTATAGCTTTTATAAACTAAGTACGTGAAATTTCATTGGCTTTTTAAAAAAGTTTAATTGATGAAAAATGTATCGAGGGATAGTTAAGTCAATATGAATTACTCCACATGTGCATTGTTGTGTGTTAATAACACCTAAAATCCACTCTTAGCAATAATATACGTCACTATTAACTGTAGTCACATTGTACAACGGATAATTTGAATCTATTCTTTCTGCCTGAGATTCTGTATCCCTTAACCAACATCCTTCCAACCTCTACTCCCTCCCCCATACTTCTGGTGCAACTACCAAGCTACCCTCTCCTGTAATTCACGGATCACTGACTCCAAATAAAAGTGCTTGGGTTGCTTCATTTAAAGTGACATCGACCAGGTTCATCTGTGTCATGACGGGATTTACTTTTTAAGTCTGATTCGTGTGATCCTTCGGATAGATTTACATTTTCTTCATCCATCCTGGACACCAACTTTGATCCTATGTTTTGGCAGTTGTGACTAATAATACCATAAATGGTGCGATGCAGCTTTTTCTTCAACATATTCTTTTTACTTCCTTTAGGTCTACACCCAATGATAGGATTGTTGGACTACAGGTTTGACAGTAAGGCTAGATTTTCAACTTGATTGGCTTGAGAGCCACCTAGAGGATTAGTGAAGCACACTTCTGGGTGTGTCTAGGTGGGTCATGGAGGCATGACTTTGGGGTCTATATCTATCCCTTTACACCTTCCTTGTTTTCTTGTCTTTTGGTACTGGGGATCGAACTTGGGAGGCAGGCACCGGAACCACTGAGCTAAATCCCCAGTCTCCACCCCTTCCTCTTTTATGCTCACCTATGCTCTGCTTCCTGGTCATGGCAGAAAGAATAACATTCCTCCCCCATGCCCTTCTGCCATAATGTACCTGCCTTGGAGCAAGCTGAGCATGAGCTAAACCTCTGACACTGTGCGCCAATTAAATCTTTTCTCCTTTAAGTGGCGTGTGTTGGATATTTTGTCCCAGTGATGGGGAAGGTAGTACAACAGGGTAGTTTAGTTTTGAAAACTTTGTGGAACCTCCATACTGGTTTCCATAATGGCTGTGCTTATTTACGCCGTAACAGTGAGGCTTCTCTTCTCACCAACGCTTTTTCACACTAGCCATTCTAACAGGTATGCGGTAATGACTCACTGCGGTTGTCATTTGCATTTCCCTGGTTAAAGTGTTGAATATTTATTTTCATACATGTGTTAACCATTTGCATGTCTTAAGAATGTCCCTATTCCTTTCCCTTTTTAAAAATCAGGAAGTTTTCTTGCCATTTACTTATATATTTTGGACATTAAGACCTTATCAGAAGGATGAAGTTCTCTCCATCCTATAGGCCAGTTGGGGCCACATGCCATGGCAGGCTTTGTTGAAAGCTCAAACAGGTTTGCCATCCAATGTTATAAGCTGTCTCTTCATCAATGACTTAAAGTTTATTTTCCTATGAATAAGTTGGACACAAGCAGCAACCCTGAAGTGCAGTCTGATAGGATCTGCTCCAACAAACTTACAAAGTTTCCCAAACTAGGAGAGGGGAGGTGTGGAGATTTACACAGGTAACCAGGATGAGAAGCTGGTCAACAGTGGGTCTCATCTCCAAAGGTAAGTGTCCCATCCTTAGGGATCCAGGGAAACAGAACTCCCTTATGTGAAAGGAAGAGAATATAGGGGAATCTGAAGGCAACAGAGGCAGGGTCTACAGAGCTATCTATATGGGAACAACATACTAGATTGCCACATAAATACTTCACAAAACAGTGGCAGGACAAGCAAAATAAGCAGTGATTTTATTCAGGAAAACCAAAGATATCCAAGAATTATTTACTTATTCTGGTTCGATCAGTTCTTCCAAGAGAAGAGAACCCTCAACTAGAAACGAGTTTTTTAAATTTGGAGGAAATAGTAAAGATAGAGAGTTTGGGATGCAAATTATTTTTTATATGATATTAGAGGCTATTTAAAATTGGACAAGTGTCTTAAAAATAATCCAAGGGATCTAGGAACAGTCAAGTTACTGATTTAGCTAAGAGATAATATTGCTAGACTACTCAGGTTAATAGCCCCAACTGATACTTCTCCCTAATGATTCAACTTCATACTTAGTAATTTTGGCCAGGGAATATTCAAGGATAAACTAAAAAAACTTTCCTTCAAAAAGTTATGTATTCCTCTCTGTTGGTCAGGCTAAGTTAATAAGTATTCCAGTTACTACTATATCTGCAGAAACACATTGTATAGTGTATTTCTCGTAATATTCTTGGGAAAGGGCTCCCATGGTGAAATGTATGAGTAACAGGTACTTGCTTTCTGAAGTTTCACAGGATGATAAGAGCTGGCAAAGTTCCCAAGAGAAAACCTGGAAGATTCCAGGGAGAGGATTAAGCACTAAAATTATTCTCTTTGGTTGGCTCCAGCAAATATCTTGTATTAAGAATCAGGGCATCAGCCTCCCTCAAAGACAGGGGTAAGTTGACTTTAAGTGACTTCTGTCCCAGGTGCTATGTTAGACCAGGTTTTCTCTCAGTGGAAAGCCCAAATTCCTGGCTTATCAGATCACTTTCATGTGGAAGACCCTATATACTAGTCTTATAGGGGAAAGCTAAGAATACTTAATTTCATCCATTTATTTCTCCCAGAAAGAGATGTGACTTTAGAATCATGCAGTGGCAGCCCCTAGTCAAATTTTGCCGATTTGAAATTTGGTCGGTAGAAGAGTTGCATTTACTTCAAGACAGGTGTGCTCTTCAGTTATTGGGAAAATATAGTTGGGCTTATGCAAGAGCAAAAATTATATAAAAAAAGATTTGATACATTGCCTAGAAGTATACAGTATTTAACACAAGTTAACATTTATAAGTTAAGACTTGCTATAAATAGGGCCAGGGATATAGCTCAGTGGCCCGCCTCAGAAGGGCCAGGTCCAGGGTTTGAAACCTTGGTAGCAAATAACAAAAGAACAAAAACAAGATAGACTTGCTGTAAGTATATACTGGCCCTCAGAGACTTAATATGAAGATACAGTCTTGAGTTAGTTTGATATTACAGAAGTTCAACAAAATATATTTTTCTATTTTAATCTGTTAGGACAGTAATTTGTCAGGTTTTCTCCAGGGCTAACCATCCTGTTAAACTGCAGAGAGCAAGTACCTATTTCCCCATATGTTTCTCCGTGCTAAGAACATTATGAGAAATGTCCTATAGAATGTACTCCTGCAGATAAATTGCTACTTATTTTCTAACTGTGGGATACTTATTAACTTAATATTCCTTCCTCTGTTGATCAGACTTTTTCAAGGAAAGTGTTTTACAGTTTACCCCTGAATTGAATAGCCCTTGGCCAAAATTACTCCAAGTTGAGTCCATTACACTTGAATTGTTCAGTGACCAAGTTAACCACCATCACCACTGCAATTGAAGACCATTTCTCCTGTCCTTTAGAAGTCTCGGCCTTGAGCAGAAAATGTTAACTCGTAGTCACAACTTCTGCATGCAGCACGATCCTTTCTCATCAAGCACCAGGCAGGCAAGCCTAGGAAGGACCTTCATCAAATTGAACTCGTGTCTCCCACTGGAAGGCAGTCCCTCTGGATTGCTGAGTATTTTCAGCACAATACAAAGGTAAGAATCCCAGTTCTAGAGTTATATCCAGGTTCAAATGGTAGCAAAACTCTGTTGACCAAGTGCTATTAGATGAATTATTTGGCCTTTACTTCAGATTCTAGACATTGGGAATGAACATCTGACATTTCATCGTCAATGAGATTCAAGTACATTAGCAACAGGCACCAGGTGTAGTTGCTATCAAATGAAATGTAGATAGTATCTCTGTGAGTTGAATAACATCTGGTATTCATTCCCTGCTTAAAAACAGTTTGAAGTGAGGTTGGCTTTATTACAAAGCAGCCATTAGATCTGAGAGTAACATTTGTTATTTCATAATCTGAAACAATCTAGAAGATGATAGAAATATCTTCCTTGCAGAGCAAGAAATAGGGAAACCATTTTTACTCAAGATTAGTTTTCAGGACATCATCATGGGAGCACCCAGTTCCCCAGCAGCAGTTACTAGAAAGTTCTTTGAACAGTACATTTCCCTTAAGAAGTCAGTGGTTGTATCTTGTACTCTCCCACCAATCTTGGTAACCACTAACCTAGACCACTTGTCAGTTCTGGCTTAAAACTTGGCCTTCTCTGATCAAGTCACCTTTAGGTGACTAGGGAAGATTGATGTCTCCTTTCAATCACTAATCTAGATACTGTTTTTCAAAATTTGATGCTCTGATTAGTAGGATCTTCCTCATGCAGGAAGTGGTTATAAATCCAAGTTTAAGGGTAAGTGCAGAGCTATTGAATCCAGCTAGGGGATACAGCCCTCCCTTGCTCCTGAGGCATCTTGCAGTTAAGAAACTGATGGTCTAGAAAGTCTAGACTCTTTCTACTCACGTGTAGATTTACAGGGGTTATCTGAAGGGTCCTCAGAACCTTGGAGGAGGATCGTGGTTCCCTTGCTATATGCTATTTCTACAACTAACTGTTTGGTTGCTCTCATCTCATGGAAGTTTTATTCTAACCCCATTTCTCTTGAATTTAGGAAGCCTGTTGAGTCCGAGATACCTAGCTCTTGTATGTAATGCTTGAATTGTCAACCATCAAGTTATCCCAGTATGTGTATTTTTTCCCTACTCAGGAGTAGAAAATACCGACATACTTGTACCATCTCCACGTGGAAAGATGAGGTGCCAATATCTGATCAGCTAATTCTATCTCCAAATAAAAAGCTTGGCACATGCTGGGATTACAGTCTAGTTTTATTGACACATTTGGTCTGAGCACCTCACTTCTGTCTCCTGATAGCCAAGTAGGATACTAACAAGACTCCAATGATGAAGGTGCCTGCAAATCCTGCCACCCACAGAGCTTGGGGATCCACGGGACCACCTGGAATATGGAAAGGTAGATTAGAAGATGCTGGGACCAACCAAGTGAGTCTGTGTCAAAGACTGGTAAGTTTTCAATAGGAAGATGTTATTTTTTGAAAAAAAAAATACAGTGAGGAATAGGAATGGGGACAGGAAATAGCTTTGATTTGATTGGCCGGTCAGGTGAGGTATCTTATACTCACCTGTAGTTTTATGGGTTTTTTCTGAAGGGTCTTCAGTATCCTGGAGTAGAATCATGGGGCCCTTGCTAGAAATGCTGGCAGTACTATTCTGAAAATACAGGCCAGATTTTCTTTTTCCTGCAGGAGAGATAATAGCTAGTCATTTGTTAAAATTTTATTTTTGCACCCATAGGGCTAAGGGTAGGGATTGTTGTGATATAAGGCCAAGTCTCTTAATACATAGATTTCTTTGAAGTGTAGGACAGAACACTATTAGTGTGTTAATACGATTTGTGTTTTAATACCTCAGTGTCACTAGAATTTGGTCATAGATATTAGAAACAACCCTTAAACTACCACCCTTTCCTTGTAAGGGATGCGTTGACCACTGTGTTTATAACTCAGTTACTTTTGCATCACAGGGAAGGCATCTGTTAAGACAGGAAGGGACAACAGATCTGTTTTAGTTCTACTTTTCAGTTGTAAGATCTTGAGAAAGTCTAATATGGTTTAGTCCTTTAGAAACTAATGGTACTATATAGGATTGGGGCAGGAGAAATACTCCTTGTAATGCCTTGTAGAAACAGTTTCTATATGAGTGTTTTGCACTGGGAAGGACCTAAAGTCACAGAGGTCATGAATTCAACCCAGGGATGAGACAGTTAACAGTGGACCATCTATACTGTGGAAAAACTAGGCCTGACCAGCCAGAGCATATATCCTAGGTCTATAGTCACACCCCACTGCGAGGACTTTGAGTCATGTTGCAGACTGCTTTCAGGTGTGTCTAGACTAGTCAGTGATTCTGTTAAAGTGACTTAGATGGGCAGGGCAAGATGGAGCACACTTGTAATTCTAGTACTCTGGGATGCTAAGGAGGTAAGATTGCAAGTTCAAGCCCACCACAGGCAACTTCAGGGAGACCTTGTCTCAACATATTCAAATAAGGACTATGGATGTAGCTCAGTGCTAAGGCCCTTTGTTCAATTCTCAGGACTGTGTGTGTGGGTGGGGTGCAGGGTGAGAGGACTGAGTTAAACTTATGCCTGGACTGGTTTGGCCTCTGGTTTAATCAGTTTATATGGGAAAAAGCCAAGGTTAGATCATCTGAGTGTTTATAGCTTACATTTTTAAAAGACCTGTGTTTCTAGGAATCCATTCTCAACTCTTAATACATTGTAAGCACTGAGATATTTTAATGAGATTGATACTCAGTTTGAGTCACTTGTCCAGAGGCTGAGAAATAAGTGGGCTCAAGGTTCGTGTGGGTGTGGCCACTAGGATAGGCAGCTGGGACACTCACGGTTGGCAGGAGGACAGGTGACCGTGCAGGATAGCATCCCTGCAGGCTGGCAGACAGATGCACTGCAGTGCAGAAACACCTGGGAGCAAAGAGAACTGAGGTCGTTGTACAGTACCACCTGCCACCCTTTTCCAGCCTGCTTGGTCTCCCCAGGAAGCTGACATAGCTATCAGGAGCTATCGGGAATCTTGATAGTACTAGAGTCTAGATGGCAGATGGCACTCGTGCTCTTGGTTCCAAGGTCTCTGCACTGAGGCAGTACCATCAGCCAGCATTAAAGGGCCCCTGGATATGGGGGGCGGTGGAGGGGTCGAAGGGAAGGCAAGGGAATGGGAGAAATATCAAGACCTATCACGTACAGGTACAAATTTTCAATGAATGTGACCCTAAAATATACCTAAATGTACTGATAAAACTTGAACTTAAATTTTCATCTTGAAAAAAAAGGGGGGTCCTGGGCTGAGATGCGGTAAGTTGGGGAAGTAGGCCTAAGTGAGGGTGGTCCAGAGTCTAGCTAAGGGGCACGGGGCAGAGGCATCCTACCTGTCCACTCAGAGCCTGCTTTGCCCTTGAGGAGTCCACAAAGCCGAAGGTAGAGAAACTGAAGCGCTGGTGGTATGAGGGAAATGGCAGGGACCTCTCAACAGCGATCCTCTGAGTCTGGTAATTGTCTCCAGTGTAGGGGCAGCTAAGCCAAGAGACCTGAGTCAGGCGGTGCTTCTTGGAAGGACTTGTACATATGTACAATAACTACTTACCCTTCCACCAGAATGGGCCACTGTGGCTGGTGCAGCGGGCTGGGGCTGGTTGTAGCCCAGCACTGCTGCAGGAGGAGCCCCAGATTAGGGTCTGTCCTGTGAAGGATAGAGACATCCACATAGACCGGATCCCGAAGGAACTTCACTACTGGGTAGTCAGCAGCTGCATAGTAGGAGCCATAGTTTTCATCTGCACAAAACCAAGGTAGTGAGAGCAGTAAGTAAATGTAGTGCTAAAAACTTCAAGTCACTTGTGACCACCTCTCATCCCCTAGACACCTGTCCACATGTCCTGTGACCAACTTAAGTGTCTTCACGCCCAGAAACATGAGGATTTCGACTATAGTCCAGGTGCCTCAGACAAGGTCTTACCTTTGGCAATCTGAAGTTCTAGAGCAAGGGGTCCAGGCTGGGTCTTGGGAAGTGGTGGTGAAAGGGTCAACACCTGGACATGAACTGGGACTGTGTTACTGTTTAATGAATAGCTGCAGCTGACTTGAAGCCTGTGGGAAAGACAGTTTCAGCTTGCTAGCTTGTATGGGCTGGCCACACATGCATTGATTTTACCTCCTGAGCAGCATTAAGTGATGAACCTGGTCCCTGGCCTTGTGGAAGTTGTATTTTAGTCAGACCAATATATAAATCAGAACAACACAAGCTAAGAGATAAAAACCACTTAATAAGCATAGTACCATGAGAAACAGCTGCCTCCCAGAGAGAAGGTCAGGGAACATCTTACAGGTGACTAACAGGAAGAGAATGGTAGGGATCATATAGAGGTACAGGGGGGACCTAGAACAAAGTACTTGGTGACAAGGAGCCTGAAGCCCTTTGAAGTACCATAAAAGAGGAAGCAGCCTGGGGTTGGGAAACAGTCAGCTGGGACAATGTCAAAGTCAGGCTGCAGAGGGACACATGAGCTGTCTCACCATGGACCTGAAGGTTATAGTCCTATTGGAAACTTCTTTAGTGATATAAAGGCAAGGAAAAAATTAAGTGTGAGATCTGGCCACAGTAAGGTCTCAAGTCTCAGAGGGAGTTTTTTTTTTTTTTTTTACTACAGCTCCAACAATAGTGATAGAAGACAAGGCCAAAATGGGCCACTGAAAACCCAGTTAGGTGGAAGAGCAGAAGTCCAGGTAGGAGTGAGACAGATCGAGCTGGTGGCAGCTATAGACTCAAGTTGAGGTCAGCAATGAAATGGGGCCATTCCGGTCTTGCAGAATTAGGTTAATTAGACCTTACCTGAAGATGTTGTCACGAGTGATAGAGCCATGATCCCCAGTTCTCACATCCCTTTTGGCAATTAACTCATTTTCATACACTGTCTGGTCTCCCGTGACCTGTGGGAGTGGGGGGAAGAGAAGTCCATCATTCCTGCTAGCCAGATGCCACCTCCCCGAATTTGCTTTGACCTGGATCTCAGGGACACTATCGTGTCAGACATTTCCTGACCACCAAGCACAGGAAAGAGCAAGCTCAGTGGTGAACCTAGGAATTACTGCTTTGCCTTACTGTGAAGGAAGGAATGGGCAAGAGCTTGGGGTGCTGGGTGAAAGCAGTTTGCAACCCTCCCAGTTTCCCACAGTGCAGGGTAAAGAACCCGTTTCCTATTTTTTTCTTCTAAATTGGGACAAAGTGGCAACTGAATCACATCCACAGTGGCCTCTGCTGGATGCACAGGACACGTTTCTCACTGCCGAGTTGTTCTTTTGCCCTAAAGAATGCCCTACGTACCACAAAGTTGTCAGGACCACCCTCCCTTGCCCCTCTCTCTGGGATCTTCCCTCCTGACCTCCAGAGCCAGACACACAGTTCAAAGGCAGCCCCATCCCGCTCACCCAGCTTGTGGTCCCACAGGAAGTAAATGGAAACCGGAACAGGACAAAGGTACGGGTTACCATCACGGGCTCACACCCACTGTCATTCCCAAAGACCAGGCGCACAGATTCCAAGTGCAGTGGGGGAGAGGCTGCATCCCGGGATACAGCGATGGAGAAGTGGCCATCCTGGGTACAATGTGAGGTCACTGCAACACCCGAGAACAAGGAAGGCAAATCATCACTCCCCTGACTGGGTCAGTGGACAGAAGTCCAATCACTTAGTTGCTCTGACTCCCTCTACCCATAGTTATGAGCAGGGAGGGGGTCATTCTCCTTGGTCCTCAGACCCAGGACCCTTCTTCCACCCGCTGTGTAACCCAAGGCAGAGGATTAACTTCCTTTCTTCAGACTCCTTTGTAGGGCAGGGATATTAGCAGATTTTAGAGTGTAGCATATAATTGCTTAAGGGGGACTTTATATTAGAAAGTCTTACAGGATTCAGGACCTATGCAAAATGAGTGTCTTGGAATCGAGTTCTAAACAACTGCACACTATCACCCACTAAAGTTGCTATTCTGGATGGGAGGGAGAAATTTTTCATCACTTAGATGGTGACTGGCAAACAGACTGAAGTTTTTCGAGATCACCGAGTTTGTTGGTCTGCTTTGGGCTCAGTGTGGCAGAGTAGACAATGGGAGGCTGTACAAAGCTCCATTCCTTAGAGTTGAAAGAGTCTAGGAGACACTGCTCATACGTGAGGCTCCAGTTGCTTCATGTTTGCCTTCTGAGCAAGTCGATCCCCTTTCCCCTGGGTTTTCCAGGTAATAACTGGGGATTTTCCTTAGCTGGCTCAGACAACGCACCTGTGTTTCCGTAGTAACAGGAAGCGGCTTCTCCCACAGGGCTGAAGCAGCAGCCCAACCCTTCACAGTCTCCTTGAGAAGCTGGAGAAGGCATGCATGGTAATCTGTCCTCCACAGGCATGGAACTGCACAGGTCAGCACCCGGAGCATCTTGAGCTGGATGTGGAGAAGGAAGAGTAGCTCAAGCCAGGAAGCAGAAGGCCGTTTTGTTACAAGGCCTCAATACTGAATGCCCGGACAGACATTTGCAGGAGGTCTGCTCACAGTCCATGGTGGGGGTTAAATCTTAGAGAGGAGGCTAGGTAAACATCAAGTCACTTTGTAAAGGGGCTCCTGAAGTGTGTTCTTTCTGAGGGCAGGGATACCCAGGAGAACCCTTCTTAAGCTTTAGCATGGACCCCAGTTACCTTCAGATAACTTAGATACCTTCATTACGATATGCAGGTCTGGGATGGGGTGACGTGTGACTTCCATTTTATCAGCATCACTCATCCAGACAGTTTTGAGTAGAGAAGGGAAATGAATTCCAGGTTCAAACCTGCTCCCACCGGGAGATTGGCTCATAGATGTGGCATAGGTATTATTCTCCCTGCTAATTCCCCAGGTAGTGGGTTAAATAGCCCCAGCTGGGAGGCAGGAGACTTGTATCCTAGTCCAGGAGGCCAAGCTGGCTTCTCTTGGATGTTGGTACTGTCTCCTTGCTAGCTCAGCTGCCTTTTTGTCCTTCCCAGTGGTGAGGGCTCCTAGTCCTGGGCTAACTCTTGTTAGAACTCCAGCCCCATGGAATGAGTGGCTATAACAGGCTTACTGCAATGGCCAGTGCGAGTCATAATGCACCTGGGAGTGATTAGGAGGAAACAAGCAGAGCCACGCTGCCCCTCCCACTGCTCAGGAGAAGTTGGGAGAACCACTCTTTTTTCTCTGCAGAAGGAGCAGGAGGCCCGAAGTTCCCTCCAAAGCAGCCACACTCATCCAGAGCCCAAAGTCTCCAGCTGTTACCTGGAAGATTCGCAGGACACTTGAGTAGCCTCTTCTTCATGAGCACCGTGTGTCCAGCTGCGTCTGCCTCCTCCACCCCGATCAGCAGGACATAGTGAAAGCCCTGGAAAGAGAACCCCAGAGAGTCAGCCTGGCTGGTAGGAGGATACTGTTGTTGCTGACAACTGAGTCCTACTTACCCACTCCTTGACATAGCAGCCACTGTAGTTGGCTTCCAATATCACCGAGCCCCCAGGGTCCTCCGTCACCCACATGCCACACTCAGAGTTGTTCAGCCTGTGTGGCAGCCCTTGGTGGTCTGCAGGGAGAGAAGATCAAAAGCACCAGTGGTCAATCATCCTGGTTACCAGTGTGGAGAACAGATAACTCGCCAAGCCATGAAACCCCTGAAACTGTCAATAAGGGGAACTTGATGGCAGCGAGCTTCCGAGGTGGTTCTATTTCAATCTGCTCTGCAGTCCAGAGCCACAGAGCTGCTTACAGGAAGGAAACATCACGGTAGAAAGCGGGACAGCAGCTCTTCGCAGCAGAGGTCTTTGCTAAGCCGGCAATGGTCAAACCTACCCCAAACGATGAACACAGGCATCTTTCCGTCCTGGTGGAGATGGTTGGTGATGAACTGGAAACTCTGCTTCCCACAATGGAGCACTCCGGGCTCACTTGGAGCCCCCAGCGTATGGTAACTACTCAGGGCAAATGTCAGGGAGAAACAGAGCAAGATGCGCTGCATGAGCCACATTGTGCCCTAAGGAGCCCTGGCCAGCTGCGAGTCTCCCTCCTCTTCTCCCAGGAGCCAGTCTTCCGCAGCACCAGATATTCATATATACAGAGAGCAGGGTTGGTTTCAGGTGTGCACCTTTAACAAGTGCAGGCAAAGCGCCTTTGGAAAGGGCAGTTTTTCCAGCCTCTTCCACTTTCAGGGCCTAGGCTGCAGCTGCATCACATTAACTAGCACAATCCAGGGTGTCTTCAGAGCCCAGAAGAAAAGCAGTTTCTCGTGGGTAACCAGGCCTTTCTCAGGTTCACTTGTGTGGCGCCAAGTTTCTGACTTCGGACCTCCTAGAAATGGACATATATGGGTGCGGGTCCCAGCTCTGCCATCTGCATCGATGAGATTCCGGTAAGTCACTACATCTCAGAATCTTTGTTTTCTCTTTGGTACAAAGGGAATAATATTTCCTGGCAGCAGTGTTCTCGAGGGTCAAGTGGCAGATTCTATATCCAGTGCCCAGCATAGCACTGGGCCAGACAAGGGCGCAGCCAACATTGTTGGGTGAGAGTTGGTGTCTTTTTTCTTCTTCTAAGATTTCATGAGTAGTCACTGAACATTTGGTTTCTGACTTGAAAACTCAGAAAAATTTAAACCTGATTCCTAAGAAAAAATTAACTGCATTGACTTCTCCTGGTTCCAAGAGTCTTGGGACAGAAATCTCTTCTTGACAAATTCCGGAGTATTAATTGCCACAATGGTCCTACCAGGAAAGAGGGGGAATGTGGATGGGTCTCCCATTCCCCAAACCAGCTTTGCTTCTTGCACCTACTTAAACAGTGTTTTCTGGTATTTGGGGCATTTTCAATGAAGACACTGAGGTTTCTCATTTGTTCACTTTGCACATTTTTGTCCTCTTTGTGGTAAAACTCAAGGTATTTGCTTTCGTCCCTTTTTAGCTCAGTGTCTGACCAGGCTGCTGAGAATTCCTGAGAGGTTTAGGGATAAGTAGAGGTGAGGCTAGAATCTGGAAATTGGCTTCCATGGTTTCTTACCAATGTTCCCAAATGGTCATCTAACTGTATTTACTCTGACATTTATCATCTGAAGTCTTCCTGAGTTGACTGAAAATCTCAGCTAAAGCCCTGAGATTGTGCAACCAGGGATCTCTGATTCTGTTTAATGAAAGAAAACACGTAGATGTGTTTTCCAGGCAAATCGGGTGACTGCTTTAACCATGTGGTGACAAACAAACCTGAGAGAATGTGGACTCTGTGCCCTCACAGGTCAGAATTGGCTTTCTGATGACCACTGCCTGAATTAGGTACATACAATGAAGGTGGGGAAGTCAGATCCCACTCGTTTGGCCCCTGGATTAATCACATTGAATTGTAACATCTTCCTTACTCAGTTTCCCTACTAGAAGCCCTTGAGGACAGACACTATGTTTTACTTGTCCTTTTGCCCCGAGTGCAGAGTGAATCAACTTTTGTTAGTGCCTGGTCCTGTGGCCATACCCCTTGAATGTATAGTTTCCAAACCTCACTGATCTGGAGTCTTTCTTTCACGGTGAGCTCAAACTCACAGCCCTTAGGTATTTTTCCTTTAAATATACATGTAATTGTATGGATAAGAATGAATATGAGGAGTAGACTTCTACAAGATGTCTTAGGCGTTAAAAGTTCAGTTTCTTAACTAGACTTACTAATGCTGCTTTATAAAGTAGTGAAAAAAAAATCAAGGACTGTGGTCATTTTGCCAGTACTTGGAGGCATATGATGGTTAAATGGTAATTGTTGTCACAACTGTAGTGGACCCTTGATTTAACTAGATTGGTTCTTGAGGGCTTGTTGCAGCTAAGTCAGTACAGCTGAGATCTGGATGTTTACCTGGGTGCACACTATAGACAACAAGAGGTGGGTGAATCAACTTAACCCAAGTTGTTCATATTCAGGCCAGTTGAAACTTGAAGATCCACTGTAGCAGGTTGTTGGGAGATAGCGTGTGTACAGTGCTTTCCACCATGCTTGTTGCATAATAATCACTCACTACATTGTCACTCTCAACAAGACCTGCCTAGGAGATAAAGGTGTGATTTGAGTCTAGGGAAAACAGGTGCCAAGCACCACACTCACTGGATCAGTGGGGAGTGCGAGGAGCAGCCTGGTCTCGAGGTTCTGTGATGACAGGGCTGTGGGGAAGACTGGCCAGCATGACGCCAATCACCTGGCTGCTGCAGAAGGTCAAAGGTGAGTCCTTAGTTAATGCCACCAGGTTAGGATTTGGTGACTTTATGTTCATTGCTGTGCCACATCTTTCAAGGGTGTGGTTATTTTACTCCGCTACTCCAATTCAGAATAAGAAAATGCAGTGACACCGTGTGGGCATTCCCAAGCTTGGCAGATCGTGTCCTTCCTATTATTACCTCAACTCTGTCTTCTGAATTTGGAAGGGTGAGCGCTAGTCTTTATCTTGTATCAGAATCACCTGGCCATTTACAACTCAGTGCCGTTATAAACAGATTCGGAAGCTCCACAACTTGTAGAGATTTACCCAAAACCAGTAATCACTGCCAAAATCACTGGATACATTTTACAGGCAGGTTTATCATATCCATTGTCACCTACCAGAGTACTTGGAAATTCCACGTAGAAGGCTACATTGCCCCTGCTTCACCCACTGATCCAACCACTCAGGACCCCTTTGAGAGGAGAGAACAAAAGCAGCCTGTGGCACTGGGGAGAAGACAATAGGTCTCCAAAAATCATGTTTAATCTGGGCACGTTCATTTTGGAACATTTCCATTTAAACTACCGAACAAGGATGTACCAAAACTAACTTTATGGGGGTCTCCTTTAGTGAAATCACTCTAGTGAGTGATTGTGGTTCAGTAGTACCAGAACTGTGACAGAGTGCTTTCCTGCCTGTGGGTTGAAGGCTCCTTGGGCTGCGAATTTACAGTGGTTGCCCTGCTGTCACTGGAGCAGCATTCCCTAACTGGAAGAGGAGGTTCCAGGCGAGCTAGGCCCCAGGAATCGCCCTTAAAGTGTGAAAAAGCAATAATTAAAATTATCTCCAAACATGGAGGATCAATTAGATCATTCTGCGTGCTAATCAGTAATTAAGGAGCAAGGCAGGAACAGCCAGCTGATCTCGGCATGTGGTAGAAATCAGGGCCCTTCTCTTCTGCAGGAAGATGCCAAACTCGATATGCTATGAGTACTTTCATGGTTTTTCTCTGCAAGAAGCAAGAATGAAAAGTAATCTTGAGTTTCTTGTGAGATGATGGGTTCTATCATGAGTCTCTCCTTTCAATTCTTCTCTCTCTCCCAGGGCCACAAAACTCACTCTCAGGCGCTACTGTGTTATTTACATGCCACTTGCTCCATTTTGTCCTCTTTTTTCTTTTTTTTTTTCTGTCCTCTGATCTTTCCTCTTTTCCTTTGCCCAAGGTCTATTATGATGGAAATCATCCTTTCTTATCATAGGTAGGATGGGGCCCAGCTGAATAGTTGTTTGGACTTTCTGAGGAATTTCAGCAGTATTTAGTGACCACCCCCCCATGGAAGGAGCAATAAAAGATTTTGTAAGAGGGGAGTAAGTTGCTGAAGAAAGGGCTAAAATTAAGCTTTGGTCAGGGGTCTAATGATAAGAGTCCTCTGGCCTCTACAGAACATCTCTGTTCTCATGCACACACATGCTCCACCCCTGCTTATGTGTATCTACTTAAGGGCAGATCTTTCTCTTTGCTGTCTGCACTGTGTGGGTAAACATGTGGTCTTTGCTGGTGACAATAAGTTCTAGGCACCATAAACCGGTAGGGTCCTTCTTAAAATCACTTTACTGTCATCAAAGCATACAATTGTTGTAGCTTCTAATTCTGACTTTCAAAATACTAATAGGATGCAGAAACCCCTAACTGTAGTGATTTCAAGCAACTCGTTTTATAGCTTGTTGAATATGGTAAGGGGTAGAGTGCCCCCTGCCTACTTATGATTATTTCCAGCCTGTGTAAATTACTCCTCCATCCTAGAGCAAGAAATGTAGGCAGGAGGACCAAAATTAATGGCCAGATTGATTGCAAGCTGGACAGGCCTGGGATTAGCAGGTGCCAACTGCGGCATTCATTGGCCTTTTACTTGGAGGTGAATAGTAACAGCTACTTTTGTATATGTAACACAAAGAATAGGGGACACCAGGGAAATATCCTTCTTTATCATGTGGCCAAAATGATACAAAACAAATCTTCCCATGCAGGTTTGATTTGAGCATGAAGGAAGGTCACTGCCCTGATTAGAAAGACCATTAATAGAACAGAGGACAACATGTAGATACGCTGTGTAAAATGGCAAATGCCAACATGCGCTGAGTGTCTGCTGAATTATTTTTTGTGTTTCAGTGTAATAGGGCTTGACTAACAAAGTACCACGGGCTGGGTGGCTCAAACCAGTGGAAACGCATGGTTTCACAGCTGTGGATGTGGGAAGTTTGAGTTGAAGATGTGAGTGTGGCACGCTCACTGAGGAGCACGTGGGGAGAACCCTGCCTTGTCCTGTGTTCCTTGGTGTGTAGATGGATCCGTCCTTTTAATCTTCTGCTTCACACATTGCAATCCCTACCCATGCATCTTCCCATCTTCCCTCTGTGAGCATGTGTGCTTGTATGTTCAGATTTCCTTCATTAGAAGGACAGTGGTCATGGAGATGAAGGCCTACCCAAATGAGTCCATTTGTACTTGATTACTTTATAAAGATCCTATTTTCAAATAAGGCCACATTTTTGGATACTGAGATCCAGAAACTCAACTTATCTTCATGTGTGTATGTTGAGGGGGCACAATTCATCCTATCACATGTCAGAGACTCTTGTAAGCTAATAATCTTTGTTTGGATTCGACATTTTTAAAAAGGCTGAATTTCCTTGTGAAAATAGTTATATTTCCTTGTAAAAATTCCCAACCTGGCCTTGATTCAACTGAAGAGATTTTGTAATTTGTTTTCATTTAGAGGAAAAGGCTCAGTTGTGTACCTTGTGGCTGAACAGGTTGGTACTAAATGCTGTTAGAGTTTAGTGAGTGGGAAGATACAGTGAGCTAGGGTAATTCA